ACCTCCCGAATATAGATACGAGCCAACCTCTCAGCACTGAAGGAAGTGTGCTGACTTGGTCAATCTAGACCAAACTCGACATTCCGAAGCTAACCATGCTGACGGAATTCTCATCCGAGCGCGTTTACTCAGAATGTTGACCAAAGTCAAACTTAGGCTTAAACCTAAAGTTAAAATGCCTAATCGCGCTGACTCAAATTGAAAACCTTGGGAGTCATGTCGACCATGCTACTAACCTAAAATGACCCTTTCGGAGCTGATGGAATCATCAGAATTGGATTCCGATGTCATCTTCTTAAACTTTTGATCGAAAATGATCGTTCAAGGTTCATAAGCTCCAAAACACAAAAACTCGCACCAAGACCAAGCGAACGACCAGGCGACCAAAATATCAGTCCTAGCAAGTCATAAATGACTTGGGGTCGCTACAGGAACGCTCTAAACGACACACAGAAGACAAGACACAGTAATGACCCGAAGGGTCATTACACAGCCACTATAGCCATACACCATCAACACATGTCAATCTTACTTATGGCATAAACACCAATGTTCCTCCACCAGGATAAGGAAATATACCTGATCAGTATCAGCCTCCTAAATCTCCCAGTGTTGCTAAAACAGTAAGTCCAGCTGAGAAAGAGGTCCAACAGCTGCTTCAATGATGTACATTCACTAAGGATCAGTATGATCACATCCTAAAAATGGTTCAACAAAGTCTGAGCCTGTTTCTTCTGTGTGTAACACTACAAATACTACAGGTAAAACATCATCTCTTATTTCTGAACACAGCAAAGTATGGATTGTAGATACTGGTGCAACAAACCATATGGTTTTTAGTTTGGATATGTTAAATAGAAATACTGTGAATAAACTTGAAGTCTCTAAGCCTGTCTATCAACCTAATGGTGATACTACTCAAGTGTCTCACACTGGTTCTTATAGTTTATCAGCAAGGAGTATTATCTCAAATGTACTTCACTTACCTGATTTCAAGTATAACTTACTATCAATTAGTCAAATCACCAAGGAACTAGGTTGTTTGTTACCTTTTTACCTCACTTTTGTCTTTTCCAGGAGCTATACAGTGGGAAGGTGAAAGAAGTTGGTAAGGAGGAATGAGGGTTGTACTTACTAGTGAAGCATTTAACCACTCAGTGTAATGGTCAAGAAAAGGAAACTGAGGCTGCATTTACTGCTCACAATGTCAGAGAAGCAGACATGGTGTTATGGCATCAAAGGTTGGGTCATGTATCATCAACAGTACTTTCTAGGATGTTTTCTATGAATAAGCGAAGTGTCTGTACAATTTCTAAGTGTCTTGTGTGTCCATATGCTAAACAAACAAGGAATGTGTTTCCTACTAGTAGCATAAAAAATAGTACTTGTTTTAAACTACTTCATGTTGATCTTTGGGGTCCTTATAACACACCTCCTATTGATGGCAAGATATACTTTCTTACAATTATGGATGATTTTTCCAGGGTAACTTGGTTGTTTTTACTATCTCATAAGTCTGTTGTGTGTGTTTCTCTTCAAACTATCTTGCAAATTGTTCAAACTCAGTTTCAGAAAAGGGTCAAAGTGTTGAGGACTGATAATGGTACTGAGTTTGTAAACTCAAGTTGTCAAAAATTGTTTACCGATATGAGAATTGTGCACCAAAGATCATGTCCATATATCCCTCAGCAAAATGGAATTGTTGAGAGGAAACATAGGCATTTACTTGAGGTCACCAGGTCTTTAAGACTTCAAGCTCAAATACCTATTAGATATTGAGGTCATTGTGTGTTGGCTGCTGCATATCTTATTAATATATTACCAAGTAGTGTACTGAAACTTGAAACTCTTTATGAAAGGTTGTATGGTAGTAAACCAACATTATCTCATATCAAGACTCTTGGGTGCTTGTGTTTTGCTAAGCTTCTTACTGAGCATGATAAGTTGATACCTAGATCAAGGTCAGCAGTTCTCATGGGCTATTCAGAAGTACATAAGGGGTATATACTTCTTGATCTAACTGATAAATCCTTCTTTACAAGTAGGGATGTGGTGTTTAGAGAAGACTTATTCCCTTTTGCAAAGATAGATAATTCAATACAGGAAAACATTTTTGTAGATCCCCTACAAGAATCAGTTATGTTAAGTGTTGATTATCAATATACAAGTCATGTGGTTCCCATGTGCTCTCCTGATACTATCTCTCATGAGACTCATACTATGGATCAGTCTTGTTCTCTAACTGCTGAGGTTGTTTTATCAGACACAAGTGTGTTAGACAATGAGGTTATGGCTCCCACACAGGTATCTCAAGAGGCTGCAAATCTTCATACTCATAGGAGGTCTACCAGACAGGAGCTCAAACCAACTTGGTTGAAGGACTTTATATCTTTGGTTGTTAACAAAGATGCCATATATCCTTTGGGTAATTACATGAGTTATGCTCACATTTCCCCTACTTATCAATGTTATATTGCAGCCACCTCTATCATTAATGAACCTGATTCTTACTTAGAAGTAGTTCATGATGAAAGATGGGTAGAAACTATGCAAACTTAAATTCAGGCACTAGAAAGTAATCACACTTGGGAGTTAACTGAATTGCCTAAGGAGAAGAAGGCAATTGGTTGTAGATGGATTTATAAAGTTAAATACAAGTCATCAGGTGATATAGAGAGATTCAAGGCAAGGTTAGTTGCCAAGGGTTATTCTCAGCAAGAAGGGATATATTACAATGAGACTTTCTCACCTGTTGTTAAGATGGTGACAATTAGGACCATTGTTTCTCTTGCAGCTACTAGGAATTGGCATATACATCAAATGGATGTATTCAATGCCTTTCTACAAGGTGATTTAGATTATGAAATCTATATGCAGCTGCCTCAGGGATTTGTTAGTCAAAGGGAGAAAGTATGTAGACTAACAAAGTCCTTACATGGTCTCAAATAAGCTCCAAGACAATGGAATCAAAAGTTGACTGAAGCCCTTATCAATCTCAAGTTCAAACAAAGTCAACATGATTATTCTTTGTTCATTAATTAGTTAGAAGAGGGGATCATACTAGTGTTGGTTTATGTAGATGACGTGTTAATTACTGGCAGTAGTCTTAAACTAATAGAAGACACAAAGAAGGAATTGCAACAAGCTTTTAAGATGAAATATTTAGGAGAATTAAAGTACTTTCTAGGCATTGAGTTCACCAGATCAACAGCTGGTATATTAATGCATCAGAGGAAGTACACACTTGAACTTATAGCTGAAGTTGGTTTGACAGCAACCAAGCATGCAGGGACCCCTATTGACATCAATGTCAAACTAACATCTAAACTATATGATGAGCATGTGAATAAGGAATAAGAGGAGTCAGATGATCCATTGATTGATCAAACAATGTACCAGAAGATGATAGGCAAGTTGTTGTATCTAAATATGACAAGGCCAAATATATCATTTCGTACTCAAACATTGAGTCAATTTTTACAGCAACCAAAAAGGTCTCATATTGATGTTGCAGTAAGGGTGATCAGATATTTGAAGAAACAACATGTTCAAGGTTTTTTATTATCTAGTGATTCAAATGGACAAGTTACTGCCTTTTGTGATGCTGATTGAGCATCTTGTCCACTCACCAGGAAGTCTGTGACAAGGTACATGATTAAGGTTGGTCAATCACTAACATCATGGAAGGCAAAGAAGCAAACAATAGTGTCAAGAAGCTCAGCTGAAACTGAGTTCAAAAGTCTGGCTTCGACTGTTTCAGAATTGGTGTGACTGCTGGGATTATTGAAAGAAATAGGTGTTGAGGTTCAGGTACCAGTTCAAGTATACAGTGACAGCAAGGCTTCCATTCAGATAGTTGCTAACCCAATGTACCATGAAAGGACCAAATACATTGAAATCGATTGTCATTTCATAAGAGAAAAACTGCAAAATGGACTAATCAAAGTGGAGTATATTTATACTAAAGAACAACCAGCTGATGTATTGCCCAAAGGGCTGTCTAGACTACAACATGAACATTTGTTATCCAAGCTAGGGTTTTGGATATTTTTGCACCTCTTAGCTTGAAAGGGAGTGTTGTGATACAGAGAAGTTGTGGAAGTTAGAAAGAATAAAAAGGGGCAGAATAGTCTTTTACTAAAAGTTAGTTATAACAACTTATCCTTTTGTTAGTTAGGTTAGTTGTTATTAGCCGGTTAAATATGATCAAAGAGCTATATATATAGTTCATACATTGTATATGGACAATTAGTTTTTCAATGAAAAATCTCACTCATTCTCTCTTAGCTTACGGTTAAGGTTTCTCTTTTACGAACAATTACATCTTTCATTACGTAACTCATTGTCATTGATATACATGTTGCAACACTAATTTAATTATTATAATGGTTTTGCATTATTACAATAGTTTATTGAATTGTTTCAATTAATATGCTTCAACAATTAAATAGCAGTTGTAAAAGAATTTGTAGTCATAAACTCAATCTTTAGCAACCATGTATAATAAGTTGGATCATCAATACTTATTTAATTAAATCGATAAATCTTTGAGATATTAACTAAATTTTAATAGTGTGGCCTATTAATGGAAGAAATTGATCAAGTGGCATTGCAACAATATAATTAATATAGGTATTTTCAGAAAGAAATCAATTTAAAGAAAACTCTGGGCAAAAAATTGATAAGGCCAAGTTCTTGACAATGTAATCATAATTCCTTGTTAGACCAAATAGATGATCACTAATATATTAAGTTTTTGATCATCTGACCAAATATTATTTTACCATCTATGTTTAATTTATTTCGTAAGATATTATCTATAAAACAATAGCTATAAATATATTTTAGTATGATATATTTTATGGATAAAAAACATTTAGGCTTTTAATTTGTAAATAAAACCTTGGACCAAATAAGTTGAAATGAAGTTATTTATCTTGTCTCAACTCCAACTAGTCAATTTATTCTTTCATTCTTAACCAGAGACAATTGTTCTGATGGAGTGATAAGTATTCTTTCATTCTTAACTAGAGGTCTCGGTTCGAGTCTCTTTTAGTACCTAGTCGACTTTGTTAAAGAGTGTTTTACCCCACAATGTTGGCCAGTGGCGGAGCGAGGAATTTCACAAAGAGTGTCCATAAATAGTACTACAAAAGCTCTTTTCAAAAAGTAGAATTAGTGAAATTTGAACACGTGAGGACTGCCTCATACCAAACATCTAAAACAATTGGGCTACAACAACTTATTGCGTTAAGGGTGTCCAAAATGTATTATTTAATCATTTAATTATCATTTTACTTGTATATACAATATTTTTTCCGACGAAGGGTATCAAATTTGACACCCTAACAACCATGTAGCTACGTCACTTTTCCCGGCGTGAATCCAAATTTAGTCGGATCATAATGGAGGTTCGAACACCGGATGGAAAAAAGAAAGAGAGAAAAAACACTCTTTGTTTGTAAGTTGGACTCGTTTTTAAATGACAAAAAAGCGTCTATTGGGCCTTTAAACTATGGGTCAGTTTCAAGCCCACTCCATTTTTCTATTTGGGCCGATATCTGAAAGAGGCCCATTTGAACTCTAGATCACTAATTTGTGATAAATTAAGACGAGTCTGGTTTTCTAGTTTCAAATCTCTCCTTTATTACTTATTAATTTTTATTTATAATTAAAAAAATAGTATAAATAACACTAAACATACTTGAATATGAAAATAAGAGATTTACCTAAATTTTGTGTTAAAATTTATTTTTATTTTTAAAATCATTGCTATCAAGGGTTGGACCCAATTGTAGGTTACCCGCCTAACCTCCCCCATAATTTTAAGTGTTGGACTCAAGATAATTTGAATTGGGTTCAATCTCAACTCATTCAAGTCCTAACCCATTTAAAGAATCCTCAATTGAGCCCAATTTAATCTCCAATTTCAACCCGTTTTAAGATTCCTTATTTGCATTGATGTAATGTATGCTCATATATTAAATGTATGAATTACTATCTATTTTATATCTTTTATGATTTATCTATCCATTTGTAACTTCTTCTTTTTAAAAATTTTCTTTAGTTGAAATTTATATTTTGGCTATAAAACTTAAATAACAATATATTAAAATTATTGAATTAAGCGGGTCAAATTGAGCGGGTCAAGATCCAACCTGTTTTTAAGCCCATTGGAGCCCAACCCATTTGAGCCCAAAGTAAACTTGGGCGGGTCAGGACCAAACCCAATTTCTATTTCATCTCATTTTAATATCTCTAATTTCAACCCAACCCGCCCATTTTGACACCCCTATGTCAAACCAGCTCAACCTCGTGAGACCGAAGGGCTGATTGGTGTTGGACTTAATAGCCTTGGGTTTAAAGTGAGGTGAACATTCCTAGCCTAGCCTTATTATTTCAACGGATTGGATTTGGACTGAACTCATGGGTCAAGTCCGGTATCAAAATTGACACTTTTTGAACCCTAAACATCAAAATGGACACTCTCTAAAAATACACACCAGAACGGATAGTTCACCCATATATGGGCGAACTATAACCACCATCTTTTAAAACTGGCATCCCTGTTAACTTTAAATTCATCCAAAATAATATTACACAAACTTTAAAGGTAGTTCGCCCGCAAATAGGCGAACTACAATTCTCTTTATTAACTCCTTACGTGAATCTATATCTCTTTCTTTCTCAACTTAAGTGTATTGTGAAGTTTTTTTTATACATAAAATCTTGACTTTTTTCAATAATAAAAGTATAAAAAAACTTGAGAATTATTTTCATAAAACAAATTTTACTATTTATTTGCTTACAGAAAATAGTAAAAAATTATTGAGGTCGATGTGGACAACGATTCCTCTTATGACCAGTTTCCTACACAAACTACATTGTTATGTCATGCAACTTGAAGCAATGTCAATTTCATTTCTATGACACATAGTACTATTGACTCTAACTGTTCTCAAATATTGAGTATTTGCAATTAAATTGAATGGAGAAGGTGACCAATATGACTCATCACAAAATTTTATGGCACGCGCTTTACGCAAACATATTGTGGTTATTATTTTAATATGTAAAAAAATAATGATAACATCTAATTTTTCTTATAACTGGTTGATAAAGAGTCATCATTCAATTCTACTAAATATCAATTATTGTATCTTGGTTTATTATTATAAAAAATATGTAAAATAATAATTAAAAAGTGGGTGGAAAAAAATACAAATTATAACCATATTTGTATGTCTTCAAATGAATGGAATACATGTTAATGCTTTGATCTATTGAAGATTTCCTTGTTTCTTTGTCTTTGTCCAATCGTCTATGCTTTCATCTAGCAAATAATATAATATAAAATCAATGATAATTAGCTCTCGATGACACAGATAAACCATACGATTTATATTTATGATGAATTTGTTTGATAGATTTAATGACGATGAGAAGGGGATTCATTAGTTCTTGAAGAAGACAAATCATTTTTTTCTCGATATACAAAATAGAGAATTTCACTAAATTGATTATTAGAAAATGTCTAATCAAATCATTTATCATTATTCCAAATAAAGTTGATTTTTTAAAACTTTAAAAACAACTTTTTTTTGGACTCCATAAGAATTTATTGATATTTCCAATTCATTATAGGCAAAATAAATTATAGGCAAAATTTGGTATTAATTTCTTCTATAGAGAAACTCTTTTTTCTAGTCTCACCATAAAATCCATTTATCATCCTTCTTTAATTTCACACTAATAATTAGTTTCCATCTAGATTATATATCTGCCCTTCCGAAATAGTGGAATGATTTATTTTTTACTATATCAATAAGTATATATTTTAATAATATTGTTTTAAAGAGTTGGGTATTTTTAAGTACTTTAATTATTTACAATATATATATAAAAGGAAATTTGCTATCCACCATTGAACACGTGTAAAGCAAAGATGCAAGAACAACTGCATAATTTGAGATCTGTTAGTGCATCAATATGATAAGTTAAATATGTTTACAAATGGAGTAGGTTGTATCTAGGGTTTGTGTAGGCCACACTCTATTACTATTTTATTGTCATTATTTTAAAATCCAGAATTTTTTATTGTTTATCGATTCTGAAATCTAAATTCTAGAAAAAATAATTTCTTCAATTTTATATAAATTATTTATATATATTAAATAATTTTTTTAGTATAAATACAACATTTTGATCGAATTTTTGAGCTTTATAGAACGTGTAACTAAAATTACAGCTTCAACTCATATATCAAATTATACACATCAATACGTTGAAAATATATAAATAATAATAAAATAAAAAAATTATGGCTCTAAAACCTATTCTCAATCAATAGCTAATCTCAAATAATAATAATATACGGTTTAATTCACACATCACATATTGTGCCACCACTATCTAACAAAAACCCTATTAATTATATTAAGCAATAAATATACAAGTGGATAGCTTATAAATTAAGGCCACCTCAAATTTTATTTGAATTGAACCTTTAAACAATTCATTTTTCTCCAACTAGAAAGATTCTCTTTTTCTTTTTCTAATTATTATTGCTATACTATCATTTTCCTCTTTTCCTTTTTCTATCTAACAAAACCCTATTAATTATATTAAGCAATAAATATACAAGTGGATAGCTTATAAAAGAAGGCCACCTCAAAATTTATTTGAATTGAACCTTTAAACAATTCATTTTTCTCCAACTAGAAAGATTCTCTTTTTCTTTTTCTAATTATTATTGCTATACTATCATTTTCCTCTTTTCCTTTTTTCTTTTCTTTTGTGAGCTGCCATAAATACAGGAACCTTTACATTACAATAAAGTAATACTCCCTTTGTTCTTAATTACTTGTCCACTTTTAAATTGATACATATATTAAGAAAATAATTAATGACATAGTGAGTTACCATTTTACCCCTATTAATTATGAAGTGGATGAGAAGTTTTACATTTTTCAAAGTAATTAGTCATTTAATTGAGGATATAATATGTAAAAAAAATTGTCCTTTCTTGATTTGTCAAAATGAATAAGTAATTAGGAACAACTATAAAAAGAAAAGTGGACAAGTAATTAGGGGAGCACAAATGTTTAATAATAGTATAAACTAAAGTGGAATATTTTATATATTATTTAGAGACCAAAACAGAAAGTGACTGAACTAGATATAAGCTAAGTCCAAATATACTTTTATATATATATTTAGAGAGAGCTTGATAAAGAGCTCTTTTTAATGAAATTGTCATTATCTCATTAAGTCGCCCTAATAAACAATTGCATTCTTTCGTTTTATATTACCTGACATCAAAAGCAAATCTATGAGGAAGTGAGGTCATGAGGGTGTTCATCCAAATATTCTAGGTAAAAAGTTACATTATATATATATAAGAGTTTTATTTTTTATTTTTAGTGTAGATTTATAGGATTTCGAATCTCCTAAACACAAGATAAGACGTTGATTTAGTGGATTAGGAGGTTCAGAATTCACTTGAGGTTGCAACTTTAAATCCTAAATACTATATTTTTATTTTTCGAACCCAGAAAATTCTGGATCTGTCACTGTCTGACACACCCTTTAAAAAACTTTAATTAGAAGAGTATTTTACTAAATCAACCTTATTAACAATGTTTTAGAACTCTAGATTTAACTGTTACTAGTATATGTAGTTATATTTAATACTAAAAGTGATACGGAAGGAAAGCAATAAAATTTTCTTGATTTGCTAAAATAGACAAAAAACTAAAATATTTATTTGTTATATAAAAATCAAATAAAATCAAACGAGAGGAGTCCTATCTCCAACTAAAGTATTGACTTGTTGGAGATGGTCTCTTCCATATCTCCAAGACTCCAACATACACCTATAAACTCCTATCCACCACCCCTTTACCAAAATATAAGTAAAAACTTTTTAAGTATCACTTATAACAATTAATAACAATAACTCAATATAATTTGTCCCACAAATGAAATTTGAAGAGTTAGAAATATATCTAAATATACTTTTATTTTGTGACTTGTTATATATATATATAGTATTTGAAATTGTTGCATTTTGAACTGAGAATCTCTTAAAAACAATCTCTATATCTCTACAAGGTAGTAGTAAAATCTGCGTACATTCTATCCTCTTCAGATCCCACTTATAAAACTTCACGGGATATTATTGTTATTTTTTTATTTGGTTTTCCACCCAATGTCCGGTACCCACATTGGAGCTAGACTAAATCAGAATTCGCACTGAGAAGTTTCACATTAAGGGGTAAAACGCTCTCTAACAAAGACAACTTCATAACCAAGGAAACTCAAATCTGAGACCTCTTAGTTAAGAATGAAAGAGTACTTACCATTCAACCACAACCCTTGTTGGTATATCATTGTTATATTACCTTTATTTTGTGTGAGATAAAAATATTATCTCCGATGAAAATACATTATCACTTTTTTTTAAAATAAAAATTGTAAGATAAAATTTCTTTTCAACCTAACACATCCCAAAACCTTATCCCAACAAAAGGAGAAGGAAAACTTTTAACAAAGAGAAAAAAGAAAAAGATAGGAAAGTGTACTTATTTAGACAAGTAGTAGTAGTATGATAAATCCCCCCATAAATATCAATATCAACATAATGTGAATGTAATAAAGTTAGTTGGACCATATATGCCACTTTTACTTTAATTTAATTTGCTCATGTTGAGCTGTCCCATCGAATTCTTGACTTTATTCATTCAAAGCTAAGCCACCTTCTTATCTTGATAAGTTCAATTCCAGCTCTATACCTCATTTCTTACTAATCCCCCCAACTTGTACCACTTACCATCACTTACGTGTGTATGTATTATAATATATATATATATATATACTCTCGTACATTTTTAATTGTTATATTGCGATTTTTGAGAGTTTATTTAATTAATTGATTACATTAATTTGATATTTTAAAATAAAAATTAGATAGTTAAATACTATATGAAAAGTTCTATTAGTTATAATTTTTTTCATATCAATATAATAAAGAAAAAAAATACATCTTAAAGTGTCAGTCAAAATTTATATGATTTAACTCTCCAAAAGAAAAGTATGACAAATAAAAAACGACGAAGGGTTACCCTTTAATAAACCTCTTTGAAACTATATAAATTTATTTATTCTTTCAGAAAAAGAATTCATTATAAGCATAAAATGAGAAAAATATTAATTAATGCACTCTTGATAAGTAATTCGAAACATCTATTTATAATAAGTTGGACAACTAATAGAAATATATTAATAAGTCATATGAGGTATCTATTCATAGTAAATTGAACAATTAATATGAAAAGCAGAAAGTATAGCTGATCTTAAAATAAAGATATGTTAAATATGCCGTTAATCAAAAAGGAAAAAAATCATTTTTTTACCATTTGTAGAAAAGGAAGAATTTTGTACATCCATAATAAAACATGATTATTATTTTTCCCCAAATATTATATTTATTAAATTTGACAGGTTATAATAATTGACTTGCTTTATCTTTTTGCTACTAACACCGTCACCGTTATCTAACGGCGTTTGGTCCCTTTGTGTAACGGTTGTAACTAGTGCAGGTCATTTCTCATCAACCCTTATCAAAATTATTATCTTGTTAAGAAGCTCTCAATCAAAGTCCCCTTTTCTCTTCATTCTCCTTTTTACGTCACCGCCTCTCATTTCTCATCACTTTTTTTTCCCGCAGATTCAGAGTATTTTATAAGGTATTCTTGAAAAAAAATTGGATCTTTAGTTACTTTTTTACTGAAATTTGTAGTTTTTATGTGTTTTGTTTTGTGGGGTTGTGTTTTTTTCTTATTTTTTGATGATGTTATTATTGTAGGATTGTTTGGATTCAAGAATTGGTGTTCTGGTTTTGGAATTACGTATTCTTGAGAAAAAAATTTGGATCTTTACTTGTTTTTTTACTGAAATTTGTAGTTTTTATGTGTTATTGGTTTGTGGGGTTGTGTATTTTCTTATTTTTTGTGATGTTATATGTTGTAGGATTGTTTGGAATCAAGGATTGGTGTTCTGGTTTTGGAATCAGGTATTCTTGAAAAGTTCTGATTTTGGATCTTTACTGAAAAAATTATAGTTTGTATGTGTTTTTCATTTGTGGGGTTGTTTGTTTACTTGAGTTTTTTTTTAATGATACAGATTGTAGGCTTTGTGTGGAATCAAGAATCGGTGTTCTGGTTTTGGAATCAGGTATTCTTGAGAAGTTCTCATTTTGGATCTTTACTGAAATTTGTAGTTTGTATGTGTAATTCATTTGTGGGGTTCTTTGTTTACTTGAGTTTTTTGAATGATACAGATTGTAGGCTTTGTTTGGAATCAAGAAATGGTGTTTTGAACTTGGAAAGGTTGAATCTTTAGTGGGTATTTGATGAATTGTTTGATAAAGTTGTGAGTTTTCTGGTATGGGTGTGTGTGAAAAGCATTGGGAAGTGGTTTATATGGTTCTTTGGTTATCTGTTTTGGCTGGAATTTGAAGGATTTTGAATCTTGGGTTGTTTGATTCAAGGTTTTTGAATCGTGAGTTGTCTAATTCTTTGTGGATATGTGGATGAGGTGGTCATGGTTATGTTACTAAGTGGTAGTTGTGGTGGAAATTTTGTTCCAAATAGGCTGATCCAGGATTTAGAGTCGGTTAGTTGGGAGTGGATTCCTTATAGTATGTTTATGCATTTTCAAGATCCCTTTTCACATGTATACTTGGTTAGAACTGAAAGCAGTAGGTTCCATTGAACCCTGTGCTAAGGGCTAGAGGCACCTCTACGACCACCCCGAATAATAGGAAATGCTTGCAAAGGGGAAAATGGGTGAAGATCTTCTAACAACCTTAACCATTGAAAGCAATCATTTGTCCACCCTCTTGTCCATGGATTCCGGTTCATCTTCTCATGATGAAATGGAGAGGGAGTTGATCCGGACTGTTAACCATTTACAGCCACCTGATATTAATCTCCCACTCGAGCCCAGTCCTCCTCCTCCGTCGTGGAATGATACATGTGATATGCTAGATGTAGGCCTTGGTTCCCAACATTATGAGGTTGAGACGAATATTAGTGTCACAAAGATTGGGAAGAAGTGTGCCAAGCGGCTTGATAGTATTTGGGGCGCTTGGTTTTTCTTCACTTTTTACTTTAAGCCAGCTCTGAATGAGAAGTCGAAGGGTAAGATTATTCGTGAGAGTAACGGGGTTTCTCGGTATGATAAATCGGATCTGAAGCAGGATGTTTTCCTTGTTCAGCATGATATGGAGAATATGTACATGTGGGTTTTCAAGGACAGGCCTGAAAATGCTCTTGGCAAGATGCAATTGAGGAGTTACATGAACGGGCATTCACGCCAGGGGGAGAGCCCCTTTCCTTTCACTGCAGAGAAAGGTTTTGTTCGATCTCACAAAATGCAGAGGAAACATTACAGAGGTCTTTCCAACCCTCAGTGCCTTCATGGAATTGAAGTTGTTAGGTCACCTAATCTTACAGGTCTTGATAAGGAGGAGCAAAAGAAGTGGATGGAGCTTACAGGCCGAGACATGAATTTTTCGATTCCTTCTGAAGCCAGTGACTTTGAGTCATGGAGGTGCCTTCCGCATACAGAATTTGAGCTTGAACGGCCTCCTGCATTGAAGAGCAACGCAATTCCTCGTCCAGAGAGATTGTTGAATGGATCAAGTCTGAATCTATCTACTCGATCTGCAAACCATGTAAATGGAGAAGGACTAAACATTTTGGCTGTCTGCAACAAGAGGAAGAAAAATGGATTTACTCGAGGAAACAATGACGATTGCTGTTTGCCTAATAGTCAACATCCTGAGAGGCTTACGGATATCCATCCAATTAGCCCACCCTGGCTAAGAGATTTTTCTGGTGCTATGCAAGTGGCATCTGGTCCTGTTACAGCAGCAAAAACTATTTATGAAGACGATGCAGGGTTCTTGATACTGGTTAGCATGCCTTTTGTGGATCTAAAAAGTGTCAAAGTTACTTGGAGAAACACCATCTCTCACGGGATTGTGAAGATATCTTGTATCAGCACTGGATGTATCCCTATCATCAAAAGACAAAACAGAACTTTCAAGCTATCAGATCCAGCTCCGGAGCACTGCCCTTCAGGGGAATTTGTCAGGGAAATCCCTCTTAGGACTCGCATTCCAGAAGACGCAAAACTAGAAGCATATGGAGATGAAACTGGAACTATGCTTGAAATTCATGTGCCTAAGCAGCGTGTAGGACCAGAAGAGCACGAGGTTCTAGTGTGCCTTCGCCCCTCGCCTTGGACCACACATGCATATGTTGATTTGACAGAAGCAATGGCTTGAAAATCAGTGGATGCTCGCTCTCTTAGGTAGTAGTTACTATTATTTACTGACCTCAATGGAAATGATATTTATATTTTCTTCTAATTCAATCAGGAAAGATTCGTTTTCTTTCCCCACTCATCAACCAATGTGGAACACAAGATGCTATTTTTGCATGCCCTCAATGTCCACACCATTTTGTTCCTGCTACTCTTGATCCTTTATTGCCATCGTTAACAACTTCATACTGTTGTTCTTATCGTTGAATGGTATTTGTGCTTAAATCTGTCTCGATTCTTCATGTCGTGTGTTTTGTTTTCTGTATAACATACTGATCATTATGTATATCTGAAGAGAAAGCTGTTCATCTTAGGACTCAAATTCCAGAAGACAACTTACTGCATTGAGATTTTTCATCTTTTGGTACATCTGTCTCTCAGAACTTGAGAGGAAGTTGTGCTATTATTATCGAGATAACTCGAACTGCAGCAATGCACACTAACTTATGTGTTTACAGCATTCTAACTTATTTGATTTGAACAAGGTAGACTTGAAAAAGTTAACAACTTTCCATTTCAACGAGCTAGAAGAATAAACTTCCTGAGAAAGATAAATGATTTTATTTTTAAAAGTTACAAGGTGTCTATTCAATTTTTGAATAAGCTAGTCTTGAGTATGCATTCAAGCCTGATCAATTCTGGTACTCTCATATTGATTTAGCATTGGGATGGCAATTGGGGTGGGACGGGCAGGGCACACCCTTAACAGGACAGGGTAGAGGAACAATTAAATGGGGCGGGGCAGGGTCGGACCAATCTTATTTATTTAAAATACATAATGAGGCAGGGCGGGTAATGGGTCCATTGTACGATGTAAGAAGACTTTAAACGGGTCAGGATAGAGCAGGTCAAAATCTTAACAGGTCAAAGCTTGCCCCGCTCTACTGTCATCCCTATATAGTTATCTGTGATAACAAAGTTTGGTATCCTGGCAACTTTGGCTTAAAGTTAATGGGGTCGGTCGATGCACGGAATATGATGAAATATTCTAGAATTTAGCTTTAGCTTGGAATAAAAGCCAACCAAATGAAGTATATAAATTTTGTCTCAAAGTTTAATTGTAGATATCCCATTAAACTTGAATTTTTTTTATCCCACTTCTCAAGTGGTATAAATTAATCCAAGAACTAGAATCTCGGGATAATTTTGTTCGCGAATCAAATGACTAGAGTCCAATTCGGGTGCTAGTAATGGTTTTATTGGTTTTGGTATGCAAAATTGATATGTACATGAATCTAAGAATTATAATCCGAAGACTATAATAAAGTTAACTCGAATGAAGAATCTTTTCAAAGAGTAACCCCAAGTAGAAGTTATTTAATGATTTAATCCGCAAATCAGCAATTACATCACTTTACTAGCTTGATGTCGGAAATCGGAGAAGATCTGATTCACCAATAGGCTAAGAAGCAATATAATATTTTCAATAACCCAATTTCCTCCATAAATTCTCCGATCATTTGCTTCATTGGTTACAACGGTGGCTTAATGTTTTCATTATTTAATAGTTTAGACTTCTCTAATAAACTCAATTCCAATATACACAGTCAACTTCAAGAGGAGGAAAACAATTTTTCTTTAGTGTTTTGCGTCTATTCTCACTTAGCCTAATAATTTCTGGTTGCAGTGTTCTAAATTTAGAGATGTGTGAATGTCCAAAGGAAATAAAAGAAAAGGCAAAGGGATATCAGAAGTGATCTACATGAAAGAAAGTTGCATAAAACTCATAAACAAGGACAGAGAAAATGTTAAACACAAACTGGAAAAGACTAGACTGGATGAAATATCAAGGATATTTCTACATACACAAAACAAGTTTAGACAACTACAACTACACTACATCTTATTTCTTCTACTACTTAGAACTAGATTTCATCATAATCTGAAGCTTAATCAACTTCTTCAATCTTAGGGCCTGCACCAGCACCGCTAGCACCGGCAGAAGGGCCATCTTCATCCATGCCACCAGCCATGTCAGCACCACCCTGGTACATCTTCGCGATAATGGGGTTGCATATGCTCTCAAGCTCCTTCATCTTGTCCTCAAACTCATCAGCCTCCGCGAGTTGATTCCCATCAAGCCACTGAATTGCCTGCTCAACAGAATCTTCTATCTTCTGCTTCTCCTCAGGAGAAAGCTTCGAAGCGATCTTATCATCCTTGATGGTGTTCCTCATGTTGTAGGCATAATTTTCCAAGGCATTCTTGGCTTCCACTTTCTTCTTGTGCTCTTCGTCTTCAGCTTTGTACCTCTCAGCTTCTTGAACCATTTTCTCAATCTCATCTTTAGATAGTCTTCCTTTGTCATTGGTGATGGTAATCTTGTTTTTCTGACCAGTGGTTTTATCCTCAGCAGAGACATTTAAAATACCATTTGCGTCAATGTCAAAGCATACAGTAATTTGGGGGACACCTCTAGGTGCTGGAGGAATGCCAGTGAGTTCAAATTTCCCCAGCAAGTTGTTATCTCTAGTCCTGGCTCTTTCACCTTCATAAACTTGAATCAACACACCAGGTTGATTGTCGGAGTAGGTCGAAAACACCTGCTCTTTCTTAGTCGGAATCGTGGTGTTCCTTGGAATCAAGGTGGTCATAACACCTCCAGCAGTCTCCAGACCAAGGGAAAGAGGTGTAACATCCAACAGCAAAAGGTCCTGAACTTTTTCATTCCCTTCACCACTCAAGATTGCAGCTTGCACAGCAGCTCCATACGCAACAGCCTCGTCCGGGTTGATGCTCTTACAGAGTTCCTTCCCGTTAAAGAAGTCCTGCAACAACTGTTGCACCTTTGGAATTCGAGTAGAGCCACCAACAAGAACAATATCATGAACACCACTCTTGTCAATTTTAGCATCCCTCAAACACTTCTCAACAGGCTCCATACATTTCCTGAAAAGATCCATGTTGAGCTCCTCAAACCGAGCACGAGTAATCGTCGTGTAGAAATCAATTCCCTCATAAAGAGAATCAATTTCAATAGTTGTCTGAGCAGTGGATGAGAGTGTTCTCTTAGCTCTTTCACATGCAGTTCTTAATCTCCTAAGAGCTCTAGGATTCCCACTGATGTCCTTTTTGTGCTTCCTTTTGAATTCTTGAACAAAGTGATTAACCATCCTGTTGTCAAAATCTTCTCCACCAAGATGAGTATCACCAGCAGTGGCTTTCACTTCAAAAATACCTTCTTCAATGGTAAGTAGTGAGACATCAAATGTACCACCACCCAAGTCAAAAATAAGCACAGTCTTCTCCCCTGTACTGCTTGATTTCTTATCAAGTCCATATGCAATTGCAGCAGCAGTAGGCTCGTTGATAATACGCATAACATTGAGCCCAGAAATAGTTCCAGCATCCTTAGTAGCCTGACGTTGAGAGTCATTGAAGTAAGCAGGCACAGTAACAACAGCATTCTTTATTGTTATTCCAAGAAAAGCCTCAGCAATCTCCTTCATCTTAATAAGAACCATGGAGGAGATTTCTTCTGCGGAGAACTCTTTTTCTTCACCTTTGTAATTGACAACAATCATAGGCTTGTCAGCAGGTCCTGGGATGACCTTGAAAGGCCAAAGCTTCATGTCACTCTGTACTGATGGGTCACTGAATCTCCTACCAATTAATCGCTTCGCATCTGCAATCAAATTATAAAAGATTTCAGCATGAATTCAAACATAATTACTTTCTTTCTTACTTGAAACTTCAATTGAACAGATAATTTGGGTAAGCTAAAAATTTATCAGTGGCTACAGCAGAGTAAATACAGCATACAAAAACAAGAAATTATTATCTTTGATAATTTTAGCCTAACATGGTTAAGCTGGACAAATTCGCCAGATTCCACTTCTTATAAGCTTAAATTGAACACTCAACATTGTTATGGTACTATATAAAAAACTAGCACAAAACCAGGGCAGAGCTACGATTACTTATGATCAACAGACCATAAGTTGAAAATGCAGATACAAATCAGGACCAATAAGCTTGATGAATTGATGAAACAGAGAAGAGATACAGTTTTACTTGCACTAAATTTATGTTTTCAAAAATCTAGCTTAATAGGTATAAATGATTAATCGAGAACCTAATCAAATTCAAAATCCTAGCTCCAATACTAAACATAAACTCAAAATCCTTGCTCCAATATACCAAACATAAGTTCAAATACTGAACATAAACTCATAATACTTGCTCAAATACTGAACATAAACTCAAAATCTTAGTTCGAATACTGAACAAAAAGAGAGAATCATAAATAACAAATACCAATCACAAAGCACGGAATTTCCAGAACTTACCGAAAACAGTGTTGGTAGGGTTCATAGCAACTTGATTCTTAGCAGCATCTCCAATCAATCGCTCCGTATCAGTAAACGCCACATACGACGGCGTAGTCCTGTTCCCTTGATCATTCGCAATAATCTCAACTCGATCATGCTGCCATACACCTACACACGAATACGTCGTTCCGAGATCAATTCCGATCGCCGGTCCTTCACCTTTTCCGGCCATTTTCAAACTTTTTCACAACAACGAAGAAAACAGAGAGTAATTTCAACTAGTAAAGCAAAGTATCACAGAATTACAGATTGTTTTTGGTATAATGTGAATGAAAATGGAAAAAATGAGGAGAGTATAAATAGTTAAAATGAGTCTCTCGAAGTTTCTAGGTAACCGTAGATTGGATACAAAAACGGTGAGTTTTGGTGATGAAAGTTTTTTTTTTTTGACCAATTGCTTGTAGCTTCTGGTAAGTTCTGGAGATTTCTCTACAGTTCTAGACGTGTTTCATAATGCTTCGCTCAATTTTCTTACTTTTTCCTCTAGTATTGTAAGTTCTAGTAAGTACTAACATTTTAATTTTAAACGTTAATATAGGCATTTAATTATATTAAATTTAAATCTACAAAAATAATTTTGAACTTTACTTTAAATTCAACATGTTAGTCCGTTCAAAATAAATGTTGTGAGCTTGTAAAATTGAGTTAATTATTCAAGATATATATATATATATATACTGATTTGTGTCGAGTATGAACAAAATTTATATTGATATTTGAGGGGAAATGTGATACATATAATGTGCATGATATTCTTAATGATGTGAAATATTTTCCAAAAGAATTATGCGCATTTTGTTCATAACAGACAATATTATATCTTATTAAAAGTATTTTAAAGTTGTTTTAAGTTAACAATTTTGAATTTCAAATGATAAACTCATTTTGTTAATTCCAAGATGTTGGTTTATACTAGATATATCGATGTCACGTATTAAATGATATTGTTACATTAATTAATAAAAACAAAAACTTATTATACGACCAACCAAAATAACTTAACATGCTTAATTTTAAATGGAGAAACTATCTAATTACATAAATATCTTTACTATGTTTACTAATTCACGATCTCTATAATTTAAACTAATTATATTTTATATCATTTTAATTAACAATTTCATACCAAATTTTTGTCAGATACACTTAAATATATATTTTTTATATGCATTTAAGTAAATAAAAATTTACCAAAAAGTAAGAATTGGGGCATTCCGAGAATTGAACTCGGGACCTCTCGCACCCTAAGCGAGAATCATACCACTAGACCAAATGCCCATTTTGTTTCTCTTATATCACTTGATGTTATTTGATCTTAAACAATATAAATAAGAAATGTTCATTTCTTGATATAAACATATATTTAATATATTTGAAGCTATTGGATAAAAACACCAAAATTAGGTTCATGGAAAGAGTTAGTGTTAGAGAAAATATATTCAATCACCAAAGTGATAGATCAGTGAAGACAAAGGATTGGACTTGACAAGCATACATTTCATTCGATAAACTTACACTATTTTTAGTTAAGAAATCAAATTATAATCAATCTGAATTCATAAATAATTTCATTATTTATTATTGAAGCTCCTAAAAAGAATGTTTGTTTCAAATTTCATGATTCCTAACTTTTTACGTTTGTGACAACATTGTTTTCGATCCACTCTTCATCGTGAAATTTAGTCTAGCAAGTTATTGCACTACTAATTAATATCGGATACCACATGAAAAATAATTGAGTAATGATTGATTTTAAAGCTAAAATTCATTTATGAATAAAAATATCTTTATCTAAAATGTTCAAAACTTTGATAAATATAATTTCAGCATAATCACGTGAAGTTTGAAAATTTGTTAAAGACTCAAACTTTGTGAACGACTCATGAAATTCAAACATAAAAAGCTAGAAAATCTAAGCTTTCACAATCTAAATGTGAATGTTGCAAAATTTATTTCGTGATTTAATTATCGACATCAAAACAACATAGCATGTTAGGTGCTTTGAATCTTTTGGAGTATCTAAGTACAAATCCAAAAGTGCATGCATGATCCACGGAGGAAAAGCATACGCATGTTGGCATGTATTTTGTCTATTCTTGAGGTTCATCCGATGTGGTACAAAGATAGCAAGGGAATTATACCAAAAATTTTCAGTACTAAATTAAAAAATGTTCTAATATTTATATTTCTCTAATTTCTTTTTTTTTAGATTAATAGAAATAAACACTATTATAATATGGCACAATTTTAAATATATTTATGTATTTTATTCACGTTCTTTAATCAAAAAGAGATTATTCTTTTAGAATATATATCTTTTAATAACAACAACAACAACAACAACATACCTAGTAAAATCTCACTTAACCGGGTCTGGAGAGGGTAGACTGTACGCAGATCTTACAACTAGCTCGTAGAGATATAGAAGTTGTTTTCGAAAGACCCTTGGCTCAAGTGCATCAAACCCAAATAAAAGAAGAATAAAACAATGAAAAAACAATAATCATTAATAAGAAACGTAATGTAAAATCTATAAGAAAGAACCTCTTAAATAAGAAATTGACACAAAGTACTTAATAAGATGAATATAATTTAGGTATTAGAAAAGGTATCTATTTTTCAAAACTGTAAATAACATGGTGTTATTCCATTTTTTTATAAACATTTTTTAACCTCATATATATATTAATAGAAATTGTGTACAAATAAAATTGTAAAATGATAATTTAAATAATTTATAAGTTTAAAGTGCAAGAAAGTTATTACAAATTATTATTTTTAATACTTGTAAAAAGGATTTATAAGTTGGATATACAAATTAAAAAATATAATTATTTCTTTCATTTAATAAAATTTTGTTATTGAATGAGATAATTAAACTTCATATTAATAATATATATATAAATGGATTTTTTTCTACCTAAAAATGCATTGACCTCAACACTACACAATTTAATATTTTTTTTAATAATATTATATCAACATTAATAATATTTTATGACAGATATTTTTCTATTGGATAAATAACTAGCTATGTAATTTTTATAATTCGTAATATTCAAACCCGAAAAAAAAATCGCATCATTGATTTTTACATGGGATTAAATTATTTACATGTAACTCAAAAAGAATTGAAAAATGCTCATGGCATTTATACAAAGAAAAAAAGTACTTAATTAAATATGACAATTTCAAATGTTTCTTTTACGCCTTTTGTTTCCAAACACCTTTTTTTTCGGTAATGTTCCAACACGTTATTAGAGTGAGATTTATTGTATAATACGTAATTTTTTTGGCCCGGAAATGAAAAGTAAACATTTATTAATAAAATTCATTTTGTCATATAATTATATATTTTTTTACATTATTATACTTTTATTTTCCAAAACGTATTTTTAAGAAAACATTCCTTGGTAAATCTCCAAATAAAAAGAGGAGTTAGATAAATTTTCAAGAAAAAATTCCAATTAAAATTTCAAAAAAATAAAATTTTCAATTACATATTTCCAATAAATCCCCAGAAAAATTCTCCAACAAATTTGTAGCAGTAAAATTCTCAAGTAATTTTCTAGGTAAGAAAATTCTCAAGAGATCCTCAATAAATAAATTTCCAACAAAGTTCGTGAAACTTGAATCCTCAAGTAATACCACATATAAAAATATTCCTAGGTAAATCCCCATGTAAGAATCCTAGCTAAATCTGCAAGTAACTTTACCTAGGGATCTTCTTGCAAACTAATATGGAAATTAGTTTTTGTTCATGACTTGCGAATTTACCTATGAAAACAGTTCCCGCAGATTAAAATAATTCCCCATGTATTAATTTTGTGGAAATGGCGTCAAATTTACCTACCAATTTTTCTAGGGAAATATTTTTCGCATGTAATTAAACAGTTCTAGAATTTAGAAATTTCAAATTTTTGCATGAAAATTCATAGGAAAAATCTGCGAAAAAAATCTCTAGGTAAAATTCATAGGTAATTTACATTTTTCTAGTAGTGATCATTTAGACCATTACTTTTTAAACACCATTTGCTTTGGTTCGGTGTTTTGTTTTCACATTAAAACTCGTTTTAATTTAAATTTGAAGTTTACAAGGCTCTTTTTTTAGATGATATTTTCAATAGAATTTATTTTTATTCTTATAAATTAAATTTAAATATTTGATTAAGAATAAAAGAATCTGAAGTCATCTTAACATAATTTATATCGATACAAAAATGTTACTTATAAGTTAGACAAATTCAAAATTTTAAATTAGTAGACACTTATAAAGTATGCCTATAAAGTATTTAGCATACACATTAATGTGTGGATCCACTTTTGCATGTCGACATGCCCATGAAATTGGTCCATTTTTTTTCGAAAAAGTTACCTAGCTCACTCAACTCATTCCTTACCAATTACTCTATGTATCTTTCCTAAAGGGAATTAATTTATATATATAAGATTATTTAAACTTATACTTATCATATAATATTTCGATTTTTCGATATCCTCAATCTTCATTTCTAGGGTTTAATTGAATTCAACGTTTTTTTTTTCTATTTACATTTATCATTTAACTTTTTGATGTCTTCTATTTTTGCTCATATACTCATCGAATCTAACATTTTAAAAAAAAATTACATTTACTATATAATTTTTCTAATCTTCGTCCCTAGGTTTAACTGAATGTAACATTTTTATTTATTTATATTTATCATGTAATTTCTAATGTCCTCTATCTTCGTTCTTAGGTTAGGTTCAACTGAATCTAATATTTTTTCTTTTATAGATTTATTGTGTAAAGTTTTTCAATGTCTTATGTCTTTGTCCTTAGGTTCAACTGAATCTAATATTTTTCTTTATCTATATTTACCATGTAATTTTCTGATGTCCTCTATCTTCATCCTTAAGTTCAATTAAATCCAACATTTTTTTTCTTACATAGAGTTATTATGTGAAGTTTTTCGATATTTGTTGAGTCCAAATGCACATGAGAGTATACACGGTAGTGTAAATAATAAAGTGACCCTTTTAGGAGTCGAATATCGAATCCATAGAGACGTGTCGGTTTACTATTTACCTAATTAGATTAATTCTCACAATTTAATGCAAGTGTGCCACAAGAATTTGATTAATATTTGAATACTAAGAGTGCTAGAATTAAATAACTATAGCAACCGTTCAATTTCATTTTGAAGTATAACAATGCTTTGGAAAAATTCTAGGGTTGCAATTTAAGTAACTAAGAATTCATGTGTCGTATCACCTCAATGGATTTCAGAAGGTTATCAAATCACTGATTTATAAGGGTGATATTATGATTATAATCTCCTGACTTTTAATCACCT